TGCATGCATCAGCATCACACTGTGTGAGCACCACAGATTTGTTGATTATACTATGATGGCCCTAGACTAAGACGCCCACTGGTGATACCGTTGGAGCCAAAATCCCTTGCTTTTAGATAGATAGATACCCTTCTTTCCTACCGTAGCTCAGCAGCCATCCATTAAGTTTGATTATGGACCGGTATATGCATAACGTGAGTAGACAGGCTACTCCATTCTCGAAGGTGTTTCTCTTTAGGAGACAAGTTTATCTCTCGTAATACTAAGAAACTTGGAAGCGACCCATTTTGCACAAGCACTATCATCCTGGGCAACCTTTTGTACGAAAATCAGGATGTGAGATCTTCCCGAAAAAAGCTGGCCAAATTCCTTTGGATCCAAGCACCCCATTTGAAAGCTATTGCTTTCAAACAGATTCAATGCAGTGAAAAATGCGCTCCATCCCTTCAGCTTAGAGAATATAAGGCAACAGGCTACTGAAGTAAGACAGTGGAACTACAGCCTGCCAAAGCACAACCACGGACGTGATCCCCAACGCGTCTGTAATAACCTTACAAAAGTATATGAAAGCTCCATGAAGGCTGGAGTGCAGTGGGACAATCATCTTAAGAAGCTCGCTTCGCTCTTATTTTTGTCATCTGAACTTTATTTAGCTCAGCAATGGGAAAGTGCTACAACTAGGTAATCATACTTATGGGAAAATGAAACCACAATCTGATTGGAGACAGATGTCCATTGCCAACGTGAACTGAAGAATTTAGTCATACCAGGCGACCCTCAGTGCTGTGCTTCGTAAATCATCACCTCATGTCACATACTGTAGTTTTCATAAGCTTTAAATCCGCGAACCGCAGTGGGGTGGTACTTGACATGCGTCCTATACTGCAATTCCTAGGCATAACCCAGTAAAAATCCCTTGGTTAATGCGGACATATCATACCAACATGAACGTGCTGTTCTACAGAATACCAAGATTTTCGTCGAAGATGCGGGCGTTTTAAAGCTCAAGTTGAAACGTCTCTGTGAACTTAAAGTCGCTGAAAACACAGAAGGTCACCAAAAGTGCACATTTTACTAACACTTGGGGAAATTCGAACCTGCGGCCTTCAGCTTACCGTTCGGATAAAGTAACAATGTTATAAATTGTAAATAACTTGTAAAAAAGTCTCTTGGAACGTTTCATCATGAATTTTCTTCTGCACGGAAAGGACAATATTGACTGGAAAGCTAAAAAGCACTCGTTTGTCTTCCGTTACTTATTCGAAATTGTCAGCTGTCTGCACTGGACGAATTTAAAGCATGACTCCAATCTACAACCCTCTATGTAGTTGCTGAAAATTCTATATTTCATTTGCAGTGGGTTTTTCAGGGATTCGCTGGAAGTAGACATACATAGGGCAGAGTACCTGTCCTCATTCCGCATTGTGGACGCAAGTCCCATGAACTGATGTTGACCTACCCCACATAGGGGACATTTTCCTGCAGGAAACTCCATGGCTTTGTGAAAAACCTTACTTTCTGAAGATGCTACTGACGAACTTCAAGCAATCTCAGATAAAACCATGTCGTTTTAGCTCGTATTCACAACTGTTCTATTTATTTGGTGCCTTCGTTAGCCCCATACGGTGGAATGTTTCGGACAAACGTGTGTTAACTCGTGATGCGGCCGTTTCGCAAACAAAGTTGTGTTTCGTGCGGTGCCAGTTAAGCTAACGCAGTGACATTTGATTTTATACCTAAATATAACTGTCCTCCACTCAACGCGGATAAAGTCTAGATTCTTCGGAATATAGGCATGTTGGTTTCTTTCAGAGAAGTATGCAGAATTACAATGCTTCTCCAAACAGCCCTTGCAAAACTTAAACCTCTTTGAGAGATTTGCCTTAGCATCCGAAGAAAAGTGGTTTCTGAAACCAGTAGTCTGGATCTTGTAGTCACGGCAAAACTGATGAGAAATCCTGGCGAGTTATTTTTAGACAATAAGTTAGCCATACTTGGAAGCGAAAAACAAGATGGATAGTTTTTTTATCTAATACCAAGACATTCATCTCCCAGTGATATTTTTGATCATTGCAACAGCGCAGCTAAAAATGGGTATAATTGTAGCATTCATTTTTTTAGACTAGGTGCGTATTAGGGATTCTAGTTGAAGATTTGACAAGACTGTTTTTAGTTCTACGGAACGAAACCACTTTGGAGTGCTGACGATAAAGAAGCGCAATCTGTTGTAAATCTACCAAGTAATCACCTTCTTGTAAAATGAGCAACCCCCGGGTGTTTCTGTACCGCGTAGCTGCAACAAAGTACACATTTTCCAGCATTTGCCAGACTCCGCTACTCGATCCTTTAGCTATTTTAGGTAGTCGAGTGGAAGTTCGCGTCCAACAAAAGATATTCGTGTCTTCTTTTTCATGAAGGAAACTACTCACAAAGTTGCTGAAAACCTTTCGTGTGTTGTCTGCACAAAGTAATCAGACCTTTGGCTGAACGCGACATGTTGGCATGTTGGTTATACAATTTTGTATTCCTTCCGGTACCTAAAATCAAAAGGACTGCTATGTGGGAGCCATTCAACGCTGTGCAGACACTAGCAATCGTATATCTCAATCCGCCAATAAGAATCCATAGGCATGGGGAAAAATAGTCCAACAGTTATCATCTCTTTTATTTTTACGTCCCTGTTATTCAGTGGCAACATGGGAATGCCGGCAGCAAGCTAATCTCTTGGGTTGGCAACTGTGATTCCCTGGTTGGCTTCAGTCTGCAACTACGACCACATTCAAATGTCATGTTCATCGATGTCGTCTGTTTGCTAAATAATAAGGCATCTTTCCGGTTGATCAACTATTCTTGTATGCATTGCTCTCAGCGCAATTTCTGTGCTAGTCAGACATGACCAGAAAGCAGACCACTTGAAATACGGGGATACAAATGGAAGATAGACAGTGGGGACTTGGCCGGTCACGCCACATTCATATTAACAGCAATATTGCAGGGGAACAGCTGCGGATGTCTCACCTATTACCTACCAAAATGGATGGTGTTCGATGAGACGACATTTGGGCGATGTAAACACGTATGGATAACTTCCGACCCTCAAACGATTCAACCTTAGGCGAAAAACAAAGCTTGTTTAAGCGAATAAACGGTTATTAACTGACCTGCTTTTTACATACAAAAAGTCGTGGTAGGATACCCAAGTTTTTCTGCGGAAAGAGGACCTCAGTGAAACTACCAGAAACGAACTATTCTGCAGGTTGATTGCTTAAACAGTGGACATTTTAAGGAGAGAGAAAAGTGTCCGTGTAGGCAAATCCCCATGTGAAATATCATAAACGAGAGATTCAGTTGAGTCTCTCGTGAAAACCAAATTGATTTGCGAATGAGTGTATTTCTCGAAAATGGTCCAATTTGGGTTTAAGTAGAACATAGGGTTGACGGAAACTCGGGGACTGCGCCTATCTGATGAGCCCCAAGAAGGGCGAAACCGGTCGTGGGCTGTCGAAGAGTTTTCAGCAAACTTGTGAGTAGTTTCCTTTATGAAAACTCCCCATGTAGTTATGGTCACGAAGTATTGAACATCCTTCCAGAGGGAAATGTTAGGAGAACTATTCGTTCAAATAGTTGCCCTGGTCTATTCCGTCAAAGATCCGATCATTTGGAAATCACGTCCACCATCTTCCACAGACAGCTCTCTCTGATCTACCTCACTGTTGCAATACCCAGTCATAACGTACAGTTGAATGCACTTGCAGGAACTGCTTCTTCTCTGTATCACCATAGCGAGTTAGTTCCCTTTTCCGGAAAATCGACGCCGTCCTCAAAACAGATCTATCTCGAGGACGAATTACTTTGTTCCTTGGGTACTATCGAGTAACTCACACCGGTTTCTCTCATCTGTAGTGTACAGAAACATTTCTACATGAATTTTACAATATTGCTGATAATAAATAGCATAGTTTTATATGAATACGATCCATCTGAGTCCAATGATTTCCTCGACAAATTTTTCTTTTTTTGTTATTGAAGGTTTTCACCTTGCTGTTGACAACGGTGGAAAAGTACCAAACCTGAGCACTATTTGCCTTACTGTTTATTTTTGTCCTTTACCCGGATTAAGCAGTATGTGGCTTTATGTCTCTCGTCCGTTAGATGAAGGTCAACCAAATTCCAACAACCACCCAAGCCCCCAAGCTCTAGATAGCGTCAATCCTACAGCTCTTGCCCCACCAGTGAAATTATACCATGTGATTTGCCGCAATTTTCAAAGCAATCACTCAAAATTCTGAATAGATAACCCTTTTACGATGTGAAAAAATGACAGCTTTCGGTTTACTCGACCAAAAGTCTTGGCTTCTGTCGATCTCACCGTTATCTTATCCAACCTCAAGTCTACGACACACTGACAGATTTGAGTGACTTCTTCATTTTCTTAACTGTAATTCTCACCCAGCTGCGGTGGGTAGTTGATTGTTCTGAATCCAGACCACCTGTACTGCTCGCGACGGGGTTCTTCCATGGAGTGAATGATTCTTTTTGATGCCACTTTATTTGGCTTCCATGACAGTGACGTAGTGTGCCGGAATGCAGCTGAATTGGCAAACATTGCGGTGAGAGCGATGGCAGCAGACTTTGATTGTTGTAAAAGCCCTGTGAAAATTGCTAGCGAGGTCAGAAACGTAATCAACGTCGCATTAGAATTCCCCGAGCTTGCGACACCAGTCAATTCCAAATTTATCTTTTTTCAACTTTTCAGTAACCCCGGTACAAATAAAACCACTGTCTGGCGCCTTGCAGCCTGAAACTCTACCCTTATACTTGTAAACCATTCAACCGTTATCTTCATACTGATGGAGCGGCTTGCCATAAGTTTTCGGTTTTCTAACCTGGTAAGCTGGCAGCAGTTTGTGGCTAAATATGCCTTTTCCTTACCTGGCTTCGCTCGTTTATCCAGCCCACTCCATTTTTCTGTCTGTCTGTTTTTTTTCTATTTGTACCAGCTCTACGTCGATGCTAGTGCTACCACTGTCATGGATGCCGAGCAGCAACAAATGCTGCTTCATTCACGTGATCCGTACCCGTTTGGTTTGGCCACCACACCGCCACTTCCAACAGCTGTAAGCCAGATGACCACTAATCGGCTGGATTTGGATGCCACGACGTTGTTACTGGCCGACCAATGCTTTCTTCAACACCGACCGAATAACGCCACTCCGAGACTAGCGGGTAGCTGTGGAAGCAGTACTGAGAGCTCGACCGCCACAACATTTGACCTTGTCCCTCAGTCATCCTTCGCCACTGAAATTGGCAATGGTGGACAACATCCATACCTACTTCCTTCGCATCTGAATGATCCGCCCATGGACCATGTCGGCTCGCAACTGACGCATGAACATGATAACACCAGGGTGGCAAGGCTAGGTTCGCCACTGAATTGTCCTCAGCCACTGCTCTGTTTCGACGGGTCCGAAATACTCCAACAACACAGCAACACCAACACAACTGAGACAGATTACGTCAGTGCTAACGGTGAATCCACGGAGGCCGGATTCGTGTTTCGATGTAGCGGGAATGATACCAGGAAAGAGGGAACGAACAGCTTATCTGCTAGTGAACACGATGTACGAGACGCCTCGTTGGATGAGCTGTACAGTGGCTGCATGGAATTTGTGAGACCATCCACAGACGGACACGTGTTTGAGGAACTGCAGTCAAATCCGCTCGACCCCTTGCATTCCTTTGATAATCCATCCGATTCGGTTGACATACGGCGGGACAAAGTGAGTGGGAAATTCAAGCATGCCACACATCACAACACCGAACTTTCAGGAGCGAATTCGGAGAAAAGGTGCAAGGTGTGCGGTGATCGGGCAGTCAATCACAACTTTGGCCAACTTACATGCGAATCTTGCAAAGCGTTTTTCCGACGAAATGCACATAAGGTGAGATGACAAAAAATTTTCGAAAATGGAGCATGCTTGTGCCTGTTTGCCACAGAGAGAAATTCACGGTGAAAATGTTGAAAGCATAGGGTTATGCAATTTCAAAAAGTTCACTTAGACATGCAGTTCATAACCAAAAATAGCGTTTCCGAGAACTACACTCATTTGCGAATCAATTTGGTTTTCACGAGAGACTCAACTGAATCTCTCGATTATGATATTCTACAACTGGATATGCTGCACACAGACCGCCTCATGTTTCAGTTGCAAAGATATTCGAGATATCGAAAACAGTGCGATTTGGTTTCAGGTAGAACACAAGGTTGACGGGAACTCGCGGACTTCGGCTACCTGATGAGCCTCAAGAAAGGCGAAACCGGTCGTGGGCTGTCGAAGAGTTTTCAGCAACCTTGTGAATAGTTTTATTCACAAAAATAGGGTTCCTTCCCAACTGCACATATCACTGATAAGGACACAGAGAGTGACGAGCGCTTTTGTCGCATAATGGAGCCGCTTGCCCAGGCTTCAAACGCTCCAGAATACTGTCAGGTTTATTGTCCTGACACTAACTTCTCAATCGAAAAAACCGTTTTCGCGCTGAGCTTTAAAAGGTGTTTGCTCGAACAAGACCGAGGAGCTGAGTGCTTTACGGGGAATTCGCATGCAGAGTCGATGTTTTGTAATCGAAAGGATTATGGATTCCTGGTATTCGGGTGATTTGTTCGACTTGAACTTTTCCACATTCTTTGAACACCTTTCAGCGCGCTCCTCTCAACCTCCAACTTTAGAAAAGTGGTCATAGATCTAGAAATCACAGGTTTATATCTTCATGTAAAACCTGTTTTTCATTAGGGACCCGAAATTGCTACAGCTCACATTCTTCTGTGCTGGAGTCTTCTCAGGGAGATTTCATGGACGAGTTATACGCTGGCCACTGGAGAACGATTAAATTGAGAGTAAAATAATGTACTACTGAGTCACTACTTGTTGAAGAGTTTAGCTGTACTCCACAGCTGTCTAATGCGTGTGCCGAATCACCGATAGTGGGGAAGGAGATACGAATCCACCAACTTGTGCACAAAATTTGCACGCCACTCCTCGGCTCATAGTGGTTCCTCGGTAGTTTCACAATCTTGCATTTAGACAAAATGCAGTAATACTCATCCTTTAACCGCGTAGTTTATTCAAATGGATGAGTATTCACCGCCGACAACTTTTGAATTGGCCAATGCAATTTGAGAAACATTTTTTACTAGCAGATTACTTATGTCTTGTAAGTGGCTGAAGACCCTTAGACTCGAACGGGACTCTGCCCAGCTCACTCGGAAAAGAGTAGAAGCACCAGTGTGTTTAGGTTCCACTCAGAGTGTTGCTCTTCGACACTCGCGAGACCCACCTAGATCATCATCGAAACCGGAATTTGCATCAAAATGCAATTTCTTCCCGACAGCACTTGTTTTTATCTGGAAGGATTATATTCATAGAGCACTACCGCTCAAGAAACAGAAATATTTCACTTCCCCTAGAATTTTCTGTTAAATTTCAGAGTGATGAGCGACCATCCCTGAGGTCAGATCAAGGGACTTTTCGGAGCTCGTGTGGTTCGGAATTCCGCGTGCCAACCCTATTTATCTTTCTGCTAGGCATCTACAGGGTTTAGAAAAAGGAAACAATCGATATTTCTCAAAATGATCTTAAAACACTAGCCCGTATAAGTTCGTGCGATTGATTGTCACTGGGAGGAAGCGCTTAAAAAAAGCCTGCATCAGTTATCTCGTTCAGTTCAATCCTAAGTGATGTAGCTAGGGGCCATCCACATGTTGAAACAGTTTAATTAGTTTGGCCTCCATTGCGGAATTCACCGCAGGTGCTCATCAACAACGGTATTGACCAATAACTCAACAGGCACCTCGATCACCCTCACCACGGACCAGTTCTGCTATACAACCTGATGGCCTAAGAGCACTGAAGCTCTCTTATTATGCCGGAAATCCTCTTATCAACTTACTCGAATAACGGAAAACAAAATATACAGTATGTGAACATAGTTATAGTGAACTAGTCCAATAATCTGAAATACATGCGGTGATTTGAGAACAACTTCAAACCAACACCAATTAGGTCAGACGCTCATCAGTATGTAGTTTCAACCCAGGAAAAACCTCTAACTGGAAATGCCCCAAGTAGCGAGACAAGCAAAAAAACACTCATTAGCATATCAGTTTGGTTTTCACAGAATACTCTACTGAATCACACGTTTTCAGCAACCTTGTGAGTAGTTTTTTATGAAGTTGGGCTTTGTTTTAGTTATTAAATAAGCCAGAATCGTCTGTTTCCAATCATATTGCTTAACCAACTAGTTTTCTATCTGCACGGTGGGCGAGTATGCCTTTAATTCCTTATCAATGGTGAAGATATGGTAGGATTCAGTATGACCTTTCGTCAACTGCTGATCCCATTTGACCATATGATGAATCCAAGTAAGCAAGAAAGACTCAGTATTAGCTTTTTGGGATGAAACCTAGATAAAGCTCCTTACTAGGAGGTCAACTTAGCAAAGTTTGTGACTTGATACTCACTGAAATGACCTCAAAGGATAGATTGTCCATGAAGACACCATGCTATCGGCCCTCCGTTAATCAATGATTAAAGATTTGCGAATGATGAAAACTCTACAGCAATGGAATGGGATACTTTTGTTTTGTTGTCGGAGGAGTGTAAATTTGAAGTTCTTTGGAGCGATTATCGAACGGGTGGAACTAACAGCAAGTATCTGTAGGGAGTTTCGTAAAACTTGCGAATAAGATCTTCCATTCCCTGTGTTCATACCAACCTGCGATTCCTAATCTGTTGGAATGAACGCGATAGGGAAAGCGAACTTATTTTCCACAAGTGTCGTGGTCCAGGTGTTTATATATCTAACCGCCCACAAGATTGTTGTTTATCAGTCTGTTTGTTTATGTATACAAATAGACGAATATGGAGAAAAGTACTCAGAGATAGCAGGTGGAGCAATACTAACAGCTGTCCAACTCAACCGCCTTGGTAAGATTTCTGTCAATTTACCTGGTCAACTTCCATCAAACCAGAGGTAGAAGCACAAAGCAGAAAAAGTTGCAAAGATCCCTACCCTGAAATTGCGTTTCCATGTAAACAACATAGCATGAAGCTTCCTATGGGGCTAAAGGAATAATGGCAGCGTTGAAAGCCATAAAACTGTGCTCATATATTGCTGTTAGTGTGGAAGGATATTAGAGTTTTGGTAGAGGCTTCATCCTGTAGGTAAAGTCACTGATTGCTGAAAAGCCAAAAGCACTGTGCAGGTGCAGTGAGCAGTGGATATCTCACGAAACTTCATAGAGGGACCAACCCGCAACCTCCCGGCTAGTAGTTTGAACATTTAACATTCCGGCTAACAGCGACTAATCAGCAGTGCGGTTAACCTGACTAGATTTAGCAGCACTCATCCATCAGTCACGGGATCCACATCGCATTATTGCAAGTCTTGACCGTTTCCATAAGCGATGACTTCTCAGGTGGAAGTTTCGGGTGAAGCACTTTCGGTCACGAGTGGGTGACCTGAAGAAGACCAATCGGTCAAGTCTTCAAACATCTGGACGTAAGGTCTTGGGTTCAAGACTCCGCAAAGTTCCTTGACATGCTTTCTTTTTTAGAATTGTCCCAAATAATTCCAAATATACAACCGGCGCCTGCTTTAATGCTTAGTCTCTAAATGACACATCGTATTCGGCACCGAAGCCACATCAAGCTATGAACCTGATGATGCATACTTAGGTTTTGTTTCCTTACTCAAATGAGACGCTCACTAGACCCGTTCATAGCACCTGTTAGTTCGGCTTTCTTGAAAGCTCTCAACGGGTGAAGTCCGTGACTTGCGGTGTCCAGTCAAGACTCAGGGTTCGTTGCGCCTACAGCAGAGCTAAATCAAGATACTACTTGTGTGGTTCGCTGTTCGTCTGTTCGCCGAACTTGGCAGTTGGATTGCAAACAGTTAATCACCAAACGAGATGGCATCGTTAGTGCGGGATTGACGACGATGTCACCTCGATTAGTGATGAACCGTTTGCAATCCAACTGCCAAGCTCGATGAACAGACCAACAACCAAACAGCGCACCCGAGCTACCTCTACTCCATAACATTGCCAATACCACTTGTGTGGCTGAGATAAACTGAAATTTACTGTAAGAACGTTTGAGGCTAAATGCAAGATTGGTGGATTAATTAGCCAGCAAGCTTGATTTGATAGGTCACTCGGAGCACAGTAGGGCTTAGCTCCCCCTGCCACAGTTCTAGAAAGGCCGATCCCTTTAAAGGATCCGTCAGTTGGTATTCAAAAGTCAATAAATAGGCAGTGCAATAAGAGTGGACGCTTACCGCGGTAATTGACCTTTTTGAATGGGATTTGTGTATATACAGCCTGGAGTACAGTATAGCTTGATGGGATCGACATCTTGGAGTAGACGTTTTTCTACACCAAAAAGGTAGTCACTGGGCAGACCGCATATGAAACCGTCATTTATGAAAATATCTTTTTGTCAGCTTGTCTGGTTTGACCTAAGTCATCAATCTAGAGAACCGGCCAACACGTTGGTTAGGGCTTGAGGCAATGCTACAGCTGCAGNTTTTTGTCCGTTTGTCTGGTTTGACCTAATTCATCAATCTAGAGAACCGGCCAACACGTTGGTTAGGGCTTGAGGCAATGCTACAGCTGCAGGGTCAACACGTTCGATCTCCGACACACGTGGCATTCCAAGTAGTCGTGACATCTGTGACACCAAATTTCCAGTTTTGATTACACGTACTGGTGGCAATTCCATCCTGGTCATTAGTTTCTTTGGGGGATTCTCTTGATTTCAGTTTACAAACTCAATGACATTCGCAGCAGTCTTCACTTTGCACCATGCCGCTGCATGGAAAACGCTTATCGTCCAGTAGTTCCAAAATTTATGAGAGACTCACCGGCGGGCTATAATTTTCC